TCCGGACTGCCATCCAGCAGGAGATTCTGAGATCACTCTTCTGAGGGATGTGACGTGGGGTGGGACAGGTCAGGCTTTATAAAGGGACTCAATAGTGCAGGTCCAGCTGAGGGCAGAAGGGGCTGTTGGGACCCTCCTGGGCTGAGGGGCCTGGACCCAGTCTCGGGAGCCGTAGGTGGCAGCCCTGTTCCTAGAGGGAGGCATCCCAGCCTGCGGAGGTGGCTGCTGGTGCTGCCCCACCATTGCCAGGGACATGGCAGCGACTGGAGCCCCACCTTCACCTCCCAGGCCGTGGCCCGTCCCGCCCACCCCCACCCCTGGGATGGCCAGGAAAAGTGCCTGGAGGTGGGAGCCAGATGACTCTTCCTCCTCCTAGCCTCCCCACCCGCTCTGCAAACAGGGTTCCTCAAGTTGCCCCACCCGCTTCCTCTGTACTGAGCCTTAAAACGTGTCTGGTCACCTGGGAAACTCCCGGTGTGCGTGGGGCACAGCCACATCCGCAATTGCGTCCAGGTGTACCACCTGGCCAGCCTCCGGGGTCATCTCGCATGGTCCCCCTTTCTGCGGGCCACGCAGGACCGGGGAGACAGCCCTGAGCTGCCCAGGCTGGGAGCCACCTTGCTGGGGCATCGGAGCGTGTCTCAGTCCCTCTGGTTCAGCCTCCCCACCTGCTCCCGGAAAGGGCGCAGGCATCAGTTCGGAGGGTGGAACGGTGGGTAGCAGGTGGTCTGGGCGAGAGCCGCCGCCCACCCCGCGGAAACGCCCCCGACTCCGCCCCCGGGCCCGCCCAGCCATCTGGCCGCCGCGCGGCCTACCTGGGAGAGTCGGGCTGCCGCGGTCTGTCGCTTGAGGAGCTGGCTCCTGCGGCCGTGAGTCTGCGGGGTCCTGCCTGGGTGGCCGGAAGGCGCCAGCACGGGACGTCCCCGCGGGGCGAAGGCGGCCTGCAGGGGCAGGGGCTTGGGAGAAGGGGAGCGAGCGAGAGGGGGGAGGGGGGAGGCGCGGGAGAGGGTCGCGGGAGGTGGG